TTTCGCTTAGCGAATATCGCATAACGAAGCCGGGAGATCAGCTGATCGGCGGTTCCAAAATGGCCACCGGAAGGTCCGCGCCGCATTTTCGCGCCCTGCCCTCGCTTACTGAGGGCGCGAAAATGGCGGCGCTATGGCAGAACATCGTTTAACGGTGAGTTTTGAAGCCATAGGAACGCATCGAACGAAGTTCAATGCGTTTCTATGGCTTTTTTATTCCCGTTTAGCGATGTTTTCGCATAGCAAAGGTTAATCCGGAACGGATTAACCTCGCTATGCAAGGCACCACTGTACATGACTTCTGAATCACCCATCCCCTTCTGCCTAACCAAATGCAGACTGAAAGAGGAAAAAAGGAAATTCAATTTTTAAGCAAGGAACATCTTACTCTAACATGTCCAATTGAAGAGACAGTGGTCTTCCCATCCTTTTCCTATTAGAGGCTGGATGTCGTTGTGGCCATTCTGACCATGCATGCAGCAACTCTAAAAAATGATATTGTGTTGTATCCAGACCATTAATTATTCTTCCTGCACTGCTCCTTCCATTGATTTTACTTTTTACCTGTATGATCAGTGGTAACAATCTGTCACAGAATGCTACAAATACCATCTCCATCTGCAGCCCTTGGAAACTTCTGTTTAAAATTTACAAGGGTCCAACCCTTGGATCTCTATCCTTCGGGATCAAGATAAAAAGGAGAGCCTTTTTTCTTATGTCCAAATGGGAATGCCACTAGTTCAATGTTTTCTTGATAAGTCAGCAATGCTGATCGTGTGAGCCCTGTCTCGGTAATTCACATCTTGTATGATAAGAGACAGAATCAGTAGGAAATCAGTATAGTGTCAGGCCTGTGATTATTCTTGTGGATATCCTACATTTGGAAGGTGGGAGATGGAACTTTGCTAGTGGCAGTCAAGACTGCTTTTAGGATGAACTGTGGAGCTGTTGAAAAAGAATGCAAAAGAGAAAACATAGAGGAGACATATAAACTGTCTGGAAAGCATTTGAGAATTTTTGTAGTTAAAATATTCTGCTGTGGTCCCTTGTTGACTATTGACACTTTGGAATATACAGTAATACTATGAATTTCCAAAACACTGTAGGTTTATTCACATATTTTAAAGTTCATGAAATTAATATTCAGTATTTTCCTCCACCATTGTTATTTAATCTCTGCCCACCCACTCCCGAAATAAAGAGACGGACACAGGTGTTGGAGTTAACTAGGGCCCCACTTTATTGCTTTTAACCTCTAATCACTCTCATCCTGCAGAGGGGCCTGGATGTCATGTGGATCCCTGGGGCAGGCTCTAAGGATATCTCTTACCCCCTCTCCAATCCTAAGTGGGTGAGTCCCAAGCCCCTGGTCAGAGCTGTCCCCTGAACAACTCGTACCCAGCTGGCCACAGGCTGGGAAGAAAAACCTCCCTATCTGCCATCCATCCAATTGTCTAGAACTAAGACATGCAATGGATGGGACTATACCTTATTCACCCCTCATCCCAGCAAGTGAAATGCTAGATCCTGGTTGCTGTGATGCTGGGTGCAGTAGGACCCCAGGTGCTTTTTGGGAGCTCACTGAAACTCACCTTCTCTTCCACACTACCTGACAGTTTGACCTATTTATACGTGACTCAAACCTAGAATAGCCCTCAGAATCCCATGGGTAAACAGTGTGGGATAGGCAAAAATACGTCCCCCCACCTTTTATATGCCAATCAGGTGAGGCAGACCCAAAATTCCTATCTGGCAACTACCTCTGCCACACTGGATCCGTTCCAATACGAATTAAGTTCGTAAGTCAAGGCACCACTGTACATCTCTACAAACTATGAACCTGAATAGGTGAGAAAGTCCACAGTTAAGCACGGATGAATGGTAAATGTAAGTAATTTTGAAAAGCCAAGGCCTCTCTAACTCACTCTGCTCTCAATGGCTGTTGAGGTAGGAAAGCAGCAAGTGGGCAAAGACCAACTGTCAAGAACTTAGACCACTGTTGCTCCAGCAATCATGTGACCTCAGAGATCATGTGACACCTTCTCTCATTATGTCCTCAACGGTATGTCAATAGTTATTTAAATGTCTCTCACAGTCTTAAGCCCAACCAGGCTGCTTGCAAGAGTGAAATAAAAGTCTTGTCCTGTGGATCATAAGTACTTCTGCATGGGCTGCTGTCGGGCTGTTTTGTTTTTTGTTTTTCTTATAAGCTCATAAATGATAAGTAGTATCTCCAAACGAGCATCCGTAAACTATCTTAGTTAATGACATGGAGCTATTTACCTACTCCCTGTCTCGTCGTTCCTAGGACTTTTATGAGCTCTTCCGAAACCTTGACTCCACCAAAACCACCTGAGAGACATTTAAACAAAGCATATGAAAGGAAAGATGATGCTTGAAGAATCACTGTCTTCTGTACATGCTCCTGTACAATTTGCACTCAGAAAAATTAGCGGTTGCACACATTAATAGCTACACAAACTTATAAAGAATTCCAAAGCTTGAACTAGGAATGCTGCAATCATAGGCTGGGATTTCCTATGGGCCATAGGAGACATGTATACTTATGAAATGTGTGCTTGCCTTTTCACCTAATAATATAGGATGGTGACTTGTGCATTTAAAAAGCACATGGCTTTTTAAATCTACCAGTTCTCATATTATCTTGCTGTATTTAGATGTGTTACAACTTCCCTAATCAATTATACTGTTCTTAAACAAGTGGAGTTCTCTCCTACCTCACCAATAAACTATTAATAGAAGTCATAACCAAGTATCCACCGAATTTTATTTTCTGTGTGTAACATTCTCTCGTTCTAAGGGTCTGTAAATATATATAGGAGGAAAGAGAAGGAGGAGGAATACAAATGCCTTTTTGAAGTCATGTAGTGTTTAAGCTGTTCCTGATACTTTTGTAGCTCTGATGATGTTATTTCTGAAATCTATAACTGCTTATAATACAGCGTGAAATGTCTTGATATTGTTCCCGCAGCACCAATGACAATGAGAACCACTGAAATCTTCTTCTTTGTCATCTTCATAACAATAACAATAACAATAACAATAACAATAACAAAACAATAAAAAATAAAAA